AGTTACGAGGAAGCCACAAACAGGCTTGTGCCGTCGCTGCCGCTAAGGTTACTGCTGCTGCTGCTGCTGCTGCTGCCCCTGCTACTACTACTACTACTACTACTACTACTACTACTACTACTACTGCGACTGCGACTACGACTACTACTACTACTACTACTACTACTACTACTACTACGACTACGACTACGACTACTACTCTACTCCTGTTGATCTTCGAACAGGACTGCGAACCGTGGGGTGGTGATCTCCAGCAAGGTCTCTGATGGGACTTCGATGTTGTTCACCACAACGGTGGCAAAGCTGTAAGCCCCCTCCGCCGGAGCTTTGTCTGTGGAGAACCTCTCCATGATTCCTTCATAGGCGGAGGCTATCTTCTGGCGAAGTGTTTGTCAATCTGCTCGCGCTGAACTGCCACCTCTTCAGGCATGCAGTCTAGGACCTTCCGCAGGATGGGAATCTCGAATAGAGGCCCCCGACCCGATTGCCGAGAGCGCCAAGCTTGGCCCCTTCGTGTCCGGCCATCACCCTCCGTGGGCCTCGGCGAGGAGCTCCGAGCATCGGTGCAGTGTCAGAGACGCCAGCCGTCCGGGGTGGCGCCGATGCATTTGTCGGAACTCGCCATCCCCACAAGCCGAAGAAAACCTCCTCTTTTTCTTCTCCTTTAAGCTGCCCCCTCGAGACAGCTCCATAAGAGATCGCTTTCGTCGCCCTCCAGGGCTCGTTTCGGCAAGCTCCCCCAGCAAATCCTCTGTTCCATCTCGAGGGCTCCGTGCTTTCTCCTTCACCTTCTGCTTCTTGTCCCCTCCTGCAAGGGCGTCGCTGCCCTGACTTCCGTCTCCTCCAACGGCCTTTGCAAGACCATCCACTCCAGCCAGTCCCGACTGCACGGCCGTGGTTGCAGGATGGGCAGTGGGGTCCGGGGGAGGAATCAAGCTCCGGCGCCTCACAAGCCCCGGTGAGCTCTGCCATCCTCTGTGAGCCACCCCACCTCTGGTCCTTGGCGAGGAGACGAAACACATAAACGTGAATCGGGTGCCGGTACATTGTAGCATCCGAGCATCTGCCTCGCGGCTCAAAGACTGGTCCTTTCACCGCTTGGCGATCGTCTCCTGGCTTTAGCCCAACACATTGCATTGCTGTCGTCCTCTGTTGTCGTATCCTGGAAATTCAATCCGCGACCCTGCTTCAAGGCCTTCAAAGTGGGCTCCCCGAGCCCGAGCGCCAGTTCGCCGCCACACTGGCAGTCTCGCCGCCATGGCGGCACCGCTTTCTCCTAAGGGCGGCACTATGTGCAGGAGGACCAGGAACCCACGTAGCTCCGCACTCCTCGCTTCACCTTCAAACCTTCACAAGCCAAGGCACACTCAGGGTCCCTTACGTACTGCAGAAATGGGGCTACGGTGCCCCTGCCCGGCTCCAGGGTTCAAGGTTTTGCTCAGGGTTTCTTTGTTGGGCAGAGGATTCTTCTCGGATTTACTCCTTAGGGTTCTCGTCTTGGGCAAAAGGTCCCTGCTGGATTCATTCCTTTGGGTTTTCGTGTTTGGCAACAGATTCTCACTTGATTCACCCTTGGGGTTTCCGTCTTGGGGAAAAGTTCCTGCTGGAGTCACTCCTTAGGCTCTCGCCTTGGGCAAAAGGTTTTTGCTGGATGCACTCCTTAGGGTTTTCGTCTTGGGCAAAAGGTTCCTGCTGGATTCACTACTGAAAGTTTTCGTCTTGGGCAAAATGTTCCTGCGGGATTCACTCCTCAGGGTTTCCGTCTTTGAATCGAGAGTTTAGGGTTTTAGGTTCACGGTTTTCGTTTTTGCTGGATTTCCTTGTTTGGCAAAAGACTCTCGCTGGATTCACTGCATAAGGTCTTCGTCTCGGGGAAAAAGTTCCTACTGGATTCACCCTATGGAGGCTTTTCCTCAAGGTTTTCCTGCTGGGCAAAAGATTCTCCTCGGATTTGCTCCTTAGGGTTCTCGTCTTGGGCAAAAGGTCCCTGCTGGATTCATTCCTTAGGGTTTTCGTGGTGTTAGGCAGAAAATTCTCACTGGATTCACTCCTTAGGGTTTCCGTCTTGGGGAAAAGGTTCCTGCTGGATTCACTCCTTACAGTAGGGTTTCGCCTTGGGCAAAGGTTTCCTGCTGGATTCATTCCTTCGGGTTTTCGTGTTAAGCAACAGATGCTCACTGGATTCACTCCTTAGGGTTGGCTTGGGGAAAAGGTTCCTGCTGGAGTCGCTCCTCAGGGTTTTCGTCTTTGAATCGAGGGTTTAGGGTTTACGGCGTGCGAGCGAACGGCAAGGGCGCGAACAGACCCGGGCAGGGGCACGGCAGCTTGATTTTTACGGCGCGGAAGCGACGTGCGAGTGCACGGCAAGGGGTGCGAACAGACTCGGGGCAGGCGCACGGCGGCTGGATTTTTACGGTACGGAAGCGTCGTGCGAGTGCACCTCAGATTTTTTCGTGAGTGTACCTTGGACGCAAAACGCCAGTGTACATTGGGTAGCGCGCCCACTGCTACTGCAACAACAACAACAGCTGCTACTACTACTACTACTACTACTACTACTTTTACTACTTTTACTACTTTTACTACTTTTACTACTTTTACTACTTTTACTACTTTTACTACTTTTACTACTTTTACTACTTTTACTGCTTTTACTGCTTTCACTATATACTTTTACTACTACTACTACTACTACTACTACTACTACTACTACTACTGCTACTACTACTACTACTACTACTCCTGCTGCTGCTGCTGCTGCTGCTGCTACTACTACTACGACTACGACTACGACTACGACTACGACTACGACTACGACTACGACTACGACTACGACGACGACGACGACGACGACGACGACTACTGCTACTGCTACCACACCCCGTGCATGAACGTTCGCTAAGCTCACTGATCAGCAGCCCACAAACGAGCGGCAACGAACGTTTTCCGCTCCGGCATGGAGTCGAGCGGCGTCTCTCGAAAACAAACGAAAGCGAACTGCCCAAACGACCCAACCCTCGACCCTAAAACGAGACAACACCAAAGCGTCGTCATCATCCGAACGGAGAGAGCACACGCCTGCGAACGGCAAACCTCTCACAGGTACCGAACACGGGCACGCGACTCGGACGAGTCCTCCCGAACTCATTCAAGCCAAGAGCATCTCCCAGGCCCACTTTTTAGCAAGCGAACGCCTCAGGCCAAGAGCCCACGACTGTCAACCAACCAGCCAGCTCGCCGGTGTCAAGGCGATCCCTTGACGGCCAATCGGCCGGGTTGGCGCCTGTAGAAACTCGATCGATATAAAGAAGTCTTATACTCGAGAGCAAGCTCCCAACAAAGATCTCTACGAGCTCACAGATCCTCTTTTGAGGAGTATCCTTTAACGCGAGCTGCTTCGACCGCTTCTGGATCGATCAAAAGAAGAACATCCTGTCTCTAAGGTGATCACGAAAAGTCTCTAGAACCAAGATCGGTGCAATCATCTCGATCGGGACGATCTGTGTCTTCCTCTTCAGCCATTTCTCCGAGATCTCAGATGGGATGATTCCGGAGAACTGCTTGGGAGCTGGGGCACGACGATCCAACACGACGGCGCCTATTCGATCAGGCCCTGCTTCCTCTTTCCTGCGATCCGGAGTGAAGCCATCCGTGAAGATCACCAAGTCTGAGCTTTTCGGAGCGCGAAGAGAGATCTCTCGGGGAGGGCCGAGCTGAATAAGTCTCCTCCAGAAGCGGGGGGATCTCGCGATCGCCGGATTGACCTCCATGTGATCGCTGCGCAGATCCTTCATAGACTGGCACTCCGAAAGGGGCGGAAGAACGCTCGTCCAACCTTCCCCCAGAGCTGCCTCGCTCCGAACATGAGTTTGCCTTTGAGCTTGCCAGCGAGCCCAGGATCCAGCATGCCCAGCCTCGAACGGAGTCGATCGTCTCAAGGAGCTCCTGCTGCCTCTGATCCTTGATCCCCAAGACTAAGGCCTCGAGGTTGAACGTCACACCTAAGATCACCGGGCTGCGTGAGAGCTGCAACTTCTTCTCATCAAAGAGAGCGTGGATCGTTTCGTTTGCGAACTTAGCCGGCGGAGCCGTCAAGTCTGTCTCGAAACCATACTTATCGTCATAGAAGTTGAAAGCGACCATCTCGAAGATCTGGACGAAGACGTCGTTGATCATGGCCGAGCGGCAGTTGTAGTTGTAAACGGCGGCGACCAGACCGAAGGAATGCCCGATCATAACAAAGTACTTGGGAACTTCATCATCCGGATCTTTTCAACAGATGACGCTGAACTTGCGGTGGTCAGGCCGGATCGGCAGTTGTCGAGAAGCCTTCCTCTCATCCAAGACGCACCCCGACAATGACCGCCGCCACACCGGGCACGCAGCTCACGCAGAACTGCGATATCCAAGTCCGCCGAGGTGAGCTGGAGCTTCTCAGCTTCTCCGTGATCGCGGTTGTCTTGTTGATCAAGTTCGAAGTCGCGCTATCGCAACCACGAACCGTATTCTTCTGAACGACCTCGAGTCTCTGAGTAGGGATCCAATAAGAGCATCCCGAGAAATCTGCGACATCAGCTTCGGATCCGAACGGACCGACAGTCGAGCCTTCCATGACATCTTCCATCGTGGCTTTCCAAAGAGACATCAGTTGATCAGAGACCGGAACAGAGTTACAGCGACGAAAGATTTTTCCATCGAAACTCCCAGGCCCGATCCAAGGCGGCTTCAAATGGAGGAACTGGAGCTTAGGCTTATACACGAACGGCGGCCAGCATCCTGATCGTTGGCTATCGCCCACGACCGGGAAGCCTTGCCGCAGTCCTTGAAGAGGGAGATGATCAGGCACCCAGCAGCGTGAAAGAGCTCGAGCCTCCTCAAAAATGGATCTGTGATTTGGCGGAGCTCTTGATCCGTAGCTGGCAAAAGATCTCGAGCACGAGCCTGCCAGTGACCAATAAGAGCCGTTCGGCGTTGCTGAAGGCGGGCTGGGTCATCGGCGATCGTCTTGATGTTCTGCAAGATTTGATCTGGAAGAACTGGTTGAACAGTGAACGGATGCGGAACGGCGAGCGCCCGTTGAACAGCGACACCCGGCTCGCATTCGACGTCAAGCAATGGCTTGGCGGCCCCACGCTTGAGCTGGTAGCCGCTCGAGCTTGCGAGACGAGCGGCTTGTTCTTGGCGACGACCCTTCCACTGAACTTGGTCACCAAGCTGTCGCTTGCGATCGAACTTGGGCTCGGGAGCAGTGCCAGCAGCCGCATTAAATGGCTCATGGGTGAGGTTGTGGGCTGAGGCACGGTCCCAAATACAATGGAAACCGGGCAAGCACCATGCGCAACTCGAAGTCGGCAGCGTTGCTCAGCTGCACACTGAACCGCCTCGGACAAGACCAGCTCGGGATCGTCATCGTGTATCTTCATGAGTCCGAACTGCGTGAGCACGCTCCATGGCACCCAGACGGTCGCGCCCATGAACGGGGATCAGCAACAACTTAATGCCGCGATTACTACTACTACTACT